AAAACACTTAAATGATTTGCATATTTTAAAGGAATTGTTTTTTAAATGCATCTATTAGCTTTTGCTAAATACATATTAATAATAAAAACATATATGAACATAATATATAAAACACAAGTTTAACAAATTAAGTTTTTGTACATATTGTAGGTAACTTATTTATACATTTCTGTTTAGAAAGAATACAATAAATAACAGGCAAGCTTTATTATAATCATTTAAGTAATTAATAACATTTATATATGGAATGATAATATAATTCAAATTTTCAATCTTTTTTTGGCAGGGTCAGTTAAAGAACCTTTAAGATGGTATATTTATGAAGCATCTTGTTTTATTGTCAAATTTTTACCCATAATTTTGAAATGGATCAAGTTATCTGCTTCTACCTAAAAAATAATGCAAACTAATTAGGTAGTACCCTCAGAATCAGTGTTAAGTAAAAAGGTAGGTACACCTATATTCACCTACTAGTAGTTGATCAACTAGGTGAACTAGGTAAGTTTTATCAATTTATATCACATTGGAAACAAAAAAAAATACAAGATTATCTTTACTTACTTCAAAATAGAAAAGCACGATGGTGGTTTGTATTTTGCAACAGCCCTTATCCCACTATCGTTTTTGAATGTCTTGATCTAGATTTTGAGGAACTTTTATAAACATTTTATCAGATTGACTGTTTTTTTTTTACTTCTCATAGGGACCAAGTACTTAACCAGATATTTTTAATGTTACACAAAATTAAACAAATGTTTATTTTATCACACTTTTTAAAAGCCATTTCAATGTTTTGTTTCCAACAATCGATTTGAGGTTAGAAATTTTGACAATTTTGTATCATGAGAAATGAAAACAATCCGATTTTAGCATGAAGTTGTGATTTTATAAAGAGATAACTATCATAAATGTCATTATTAGAAAAAGATAACGATCAACTGTCTAGTGTTGCGGTATCACAGATTCTTTAGAGACCAATAAAAATAGGCGCTTCATTAGGAAGCGGTTAATGGCGCAAAAATGGAGTTTTTTAAATAATTGATTTAAAAGTGAACTTTTTAAAGTACTATAACTTTATTATTAATTATCTATTTAAAGAATGTATTGCATGAAAAAAAATTAATTTTTTAGTGCTTAAACAGGTAATAGTATTAGATTCGTTAAATTCGTTTACACTAAACACGCCCATTTAAAGGTATGGTAACGGCAAAAAACCAGTAAATTAATTTTTCTAGAATTACATGAATGCTTTTATTATTATTTTAATAAAAACGAATGACAATTGTAACACTATTATCAAAATATTACATAAAGTTAATCAAGTTGCTATTTGTTAGAAAAAAAAAAACTAAACTTTTGTTTGCTTGTTTAGTAAATTGTTTTTTTTTTCCTTATATAATTTTCTTAAAAGCCGTAAAGCATAAGAAAACTGCCATTAAACTTACAGAAGACTACTTAATTCGTAAGACGTTTTGTTTCACTAGAGTTACATAAAGAAACTAAACTAAAAGGACGTAAAATCATTTAACGTCCTACTAGCAAACATGTTGCCATATTTATACAAAGAAACGGCAACTCTTAATTATCCTTCCTCCATGAATGTAGTGGTCTAAGTAATCTTTAACTAATTTAGATTCTACTGTTATCAGTTGTCACTTAGAGCCAGTTTTTCAATCATGTCAGTATCACTGTTCAGGTGAACTAAGTTTAATTTATATTGGTAGTTCTGAATCGAGGGACTTCAGACAAAACTGAATGCTCTATGTCAGTTTGACGTTTTCAAAACAGTGAAAATGAAAGATATTCGAAGTGGAAAAAAATTGACGGACCGCTAATTTTTCGAGCAACGAAAAAGAATTGTTGGTAAATTTTAATTGCTGTACTTATGCACTCTACTTGGTGGTGGTAATTAAGATAGCGATGCAAAAATTGTGTAGTTAACAGACACATGACTTTAGAATTTAAAGCATTATTTCTAGAAAATAAAATATATGTTGGGGGTGGGTTGGCTCAGTGGTTAGAGTCATGACTTTGAGATCGAAAGGTCTCAGGATCGAATCCCACCGTTGGCCGGGATTTTTTTTATTTAAAATTAATTCTGATGCCTTGGTAGGATTCCCCACTCGACCATTCACTGTTGGGTTCTAATTAACAGTGCTGTTCCTAAAGTGGCGCAAGGAAACAGTAACAAGGCCTGTCTGTAGGGGTGTAGGAGTATTAGAGTACTAATACTTCTACACTATGGAGTATTAGACTACTAGTACAATCCATAACCTACATAGAACACTAGGCTAATGACCTTAGATGTTGAAGCCGTACACTAAAGAAAAAAAAAAAAAAAAAAAAAATATATGTTATTATCCAGAAGTCCTTCTATTTTGTTTATTATTCTGTTTTGTTAGACAAACGAAATTTTGCATATTCTCTAAGGTACATGGTATATTATTATGCATTAAATTGGTATCAATTTGACCATCGTCTTTACTTATTACCAGAGATAAGGGACATAAAGATTGGAAACGCAACGACCGCAGCATCGATGGCGTCATCTAGCGTCTCAGATGTTAACTACAGGTCTACGTCGTTTGTAGAGTTTTATTTGAGAGATCGTACAAGTAGAGTAGAACAATGGTATTTCGACACAAAAATTGTACAATAGATACATGCATAGCATAATATAATTTAAATGGAATGAAAAAAACAAGCTATGATGTGATAATTTATTTATCTATTTATAAAAATGTTTACAACGAAAAAAAAAACTAAAGAAAATACATGAAACTTTAAAATCAACACATTTAAAGTAATCAATGACTGTCACTTCACGATAAGTCAGAACAAAAATGACTGCCTTCAGAAACTACGAATGGCCTATGAATATTTGCAAGTCACATACTTTGATTACTATACGAGGCAAGAGAGAGGTCCGACACGCCCAACATAGGGCGCGGCCATTTTGAACCCTGTGACACAGTTTACAGATAAAGAATCAGATCGCTCACTCTGCGTCGGCACTTTGGATCTCAATGTTTCAGTTTATACACTGTGCAACTCGGATAATACAATATATGACAACCGCCTATAATAAAACAGCAGTCTTCTGCGTATCCTGAATTTGTATCCCTGGAGTAGATGTTATTTTATTTATTTATTTATTTATTTATTTATTTTATTTATTTATTTATTAAATACACTATTCTACAAGTAATACCCAATTACAGAATAGGAAAATATGACAAAAATATTTAGACGAAACGTACAAAAATGAAAAATATTACAGGAAATAAAGTACAATGATGGTTATCCTAAATAATGCCTTTTGATATCCTGAATACTAATGTGGAATATATCCAATTCCTGACTTATCTGATTGTAATTATTACACATTTTGGAACTTTCAACTGGTCCGAGTGAGCTAACTGATTCTTTAGCAATAAACTGTGACTTCAAAAATAATATTTACTGATACTGACAGCAGCAAGCAAAATATCAGGTGCGTTTTAATCATCCGCTTCTGCTTCCGGAATTGTCGGTTTAGTCGTTTTAACCTGTCAGATTAAAACAAGAAAACCGACAATTCCGAAGCAGAAGCGGATGATTAAAACGCACCTATTAAAAATATTGCGCCAAGATGTAGGCAACACGTAATAAGGGTTCAAAATGGCGGAGTTTTCTATCTCCTTTTAAAAGGCACTCAGAAAGCGGCGCAGTGCGACCATTCTCCGTATAGTAAAAGAAAATCAAAGTATGTGTTGCAAGTAGTTTTTGATTTTTATTGTTTTATATTCTGAAGTTGTTGCAGATATTTAAATAAACCTACTAAAAAAGTAAAGATCGTATTTTTACGTATGATCTCACTGATGAAATCGTACATCGTACAGAGAATTAAAAAATCATATAAATACGATTTAAATCGTACGGTTGGCAACACTGAGACAGACAGTAGACGTGAACAGCAGGAGTGCGTTTAGAAACCACGCACGGCGCGTCTGGACCCTATTCTAATGTATGTGGTGAATAGTTGTGGCTGTTTTTGTGTGAAATTTAAGGACAATAATTATATTTTGTAATATTACAATAAGTCGGAGAACGTATTGCATTAGTAACACATGCCACATGAACAAATTTAACAACTCCAATGTGGCGTTTTTTAATTAACCAAAGTAGGTAAGATCTATTCATGTAAGTAACACAAATAGTAATCAACTTTTGTTACAAAGTAGGTGTTTATGTATTATTTATTGTTTTAGAACAAGAAATTGGCTTTAAAACGTTAGAAAGAAGATTTGATGTAGGAAGAAAAATATCTGAATTCCCATTATTGAATTTGCACTCAACATTTTTAAATAAGATACTGTAAGTGTAGTATTCTTTTTAATAAATAATTTAACATAATTACATTGTTTAAGTTTATTTACAAGAACATGAGAGTGCAGTCGATATTTATGCAACCTTTATTATCAGGTTTTTAAATTTCCCGCTGCGTTGTTTGATATTGATGAAAGCGCCACATAGTGGGTCAGATGTTAACTGCGATAAAGCTGGTCGTTGTTAAGCATTGGTTTTTTATGGGCGTTTCCTATCTTTATCTCCCTTATCTCTGCTTATTACTTCAAACATAAAATAAACAAAAATTGTGTTATATACTTATGTCAGTGTCAAAACATTGATCTTAGTTTAAACGCCCTACTTTGACACACAAAAATTGTGTTATATACTTATGTCAGTGTCAAAACATTGATCTTAGTTTAAACGCCCTACTTTGACACACAAATTTTTCTGGTAGTTTAATTTAAGTTCAGACGTGAACTACATTTGAAATACATCATCTTTCAATTAAACTCAGTTTATTTGCTGAACTTAGTTTAAACTTTCATTGAAAAACTGGCCCTTAGAGCATCAACATTTTTACTAAAACTTTTCAAGGCTAATTAGATTCGAATCTCCTCTGGTAATCTATTATTATACATTTTCCTAATTTACGGTCATTTTAATTTCAGATTATCTCCAGGACTACCAGACCTTCGAACATGTCTTCTCAATCAAAAACTCCAAATGCTCAATTGTTGCATAGACCGCAAACTATCCCGAGATAATGCCCAAGTAAGCTTCGATTCAGCAGAAAATTCCTCAACCGACGACGATGACGAATTCTTTGATTGTTCGGAAAAACCCACAGAGGAAAAACACAAAGAAAAATTGTCACTTTGGAACCAACCAGTTGGAAGGCTCAGCAAATTCGGTAATTTGAAGCTGATCAAAACCGGAGATCCCTTATATATTCCCGTGACGCAAGATCCGGTTTTGAAAACTGAAGATCAGTTAGAAGAAGATACCGATGTTCTTCTTCAATTAGGATCAGATGCTGAAGCTATGGAGCTGAGGGCTCGAATTATGAGTGCGTCTTTGTTATCTGATATGGAATCTTTTAAAGCTGCAAATCCAGGTTAGTGGTAGGATGAAGGCGGATATGAAACTAGGTGAAAAAAATATATCATTTTTCGAAATTTGATCAAAGTGAATATTGTCAGAAAAATTAATAGATGCTTCCTCAGATTTTTTTTTACCTCAGCTAAATTGTAAGAGGATTCATTTTCGTATACCGAGCAGAAATAATCCGCAAATTCACCTGCTATTATTTTGGGAACAAAGAAATTATTTACATCGGAGCTTTTTTGTCTCTTATTCTTAATAAAATTCCAAAAAAGTGTTTGGTTCCCTCTTATATTGTTTTGAATATCTAAAAGGTAACTATCATAAGCTCTCTTAATTTTTACTTTGGTTTCTTTCTTTTTTCTGTATACTTTTTTAGATACGTTTCTGATTGGCTTTTCCTGCGTCTATAAATTTTTTTTATTTTTAAATCCATTATGATATCGCTATTGAACCAAGGTGGAAATGTTTTACAATTTTTTCGTTTTTTTTTTTATTAAATTTAGGAACTGCTATAGCCATAATATTATAAACTACTTTATAGAAATATGCTACACAATCATTAACGTTCTCAAATTTTCCTAAGAGGGTCCAATTAAAATCCCTTAATAGTTCATAAAGTAATAATTTAAAATTTGCTGTTTGAAAATTATATTTGTTTTCTAAATTATTAGTATCAGTATTGTAAAAAGCTTTCATTAATCTAAACTCTAACTTCAGTGCAGGGTGTCGTATATTTTTGTTAACTACCCAAGACTAAGTCTAATGTTCTATTATCTACGTTTAAAATGTTATTATAAGATTTGGGATGAGGCCATTAAAGTTTGTATTGTATTTTCGATCTCACACTGAGCATTAAATTAATAGTTTTTACCAACATGATATAAGATCATTATCAACAAATTGATCTATATTTAAATAACTTAGCATAAGTTAAAATTAAGGATTAGTTTTTATAAACAAAACAAGCAAATACTCTCACTTCACTTGGTTAAATTCTATAATTTCACCAGTAAAAACATCAACAAATTAATATTTTACATCTACTAAATAAATAAACAATTCTCAAATAGTTCGACTGCTTTTTACCCTAATATAATGTGAAGTCATGAAACTATAAATACCATTTTTCTCAGAATACCGAACGTCGAACACCTGTGTTTTCAGGTGCACAGCTGTGCAGTGGAACAAAATGAGTGCCCGGCGCATAGTTAACGAAACACAAATGACGTATTTCATTATGTCATGATGTTTTCATTGGTTGAAACCGAATAGGTGCGTCAACTATGCCCCGGACACTCATTTCGTCCCACAGTATATATTAGGGTGAGCTCGACGCGAAGAATTGAGTTGTCTTATTGCCACCAGTTGTCTTTTTGCCATCATCGCTCACAGTTGTCTGCTATCCGAACGTTCAGGTGCTTTCTGCCGACGGCACGTTACTTTCTACATTTTTACAAGCGTTTAATAAATTTTATTTTCTGGTGAAAGTTATATCTTCTACAATTATTATGGCATAAGAAATTCTACAAACAAATGTTTTCAAGTTGGTAACTAAAAAATCAACTGTATTAGTTAATCAAATTGTGATGAACTCAAAATTGTAAATATTTTAAAACTGTTTAGTGAAGATAAGAAAATTATTATATCTAAATGGAATCAACCACTATGTATTTACTTCAGTGAAAATAGTAAATTAAAAACACTTCTTTTTCTACTACCTATGACTCGTTAGTTATTTCTACAAAAGAACCCAATTCTTCTAACACCAGCGACATATGCTATAGAACATTTTTACCAAAGAAATATACGGAAGTAACACCGGTATTTTTTCATCACTTTTAATAAATTCGGTAGACCTTCAAAATAGTTTACAGGTCATTTTCATTCGCTATGAATTTCTTGTGACTATTAACCATGGAAAACACTCTACCACCCATTGTCCAGACCATTTTTCCTTTATATTTATTTTTTGCCAATACGACGAGATCATGTTGTACTCTTGAAAGGTCTTCGTGGATTGTAATACCTGATTTTTTAAGCAGTTTTTTGCCATATATACATATAGCTTGTTTTTCATTGGTTTGGAAACGAACTGAACTACAACAGTTGCATGCCTTGGTCTAGTGGTTTTTTGATTTATCCTATATACATCATCAATATCATGTGTTAGAAAATTAATTTTTAAATTATTATTTATCAAATGCAGGATGACATCATCAATAATGTTTTCTTGCTTTTCTTCCGGTAAACCATTTATTCTAATATTCTTCATTCTCTTATAGGTTTCTAATGAATTACTCAAAAATTTTATTTTCTTCATTTATTTGCTCTCTTTCTTCAATTTTAGTTACTCTAGTGTCAATTTCCATAATTTTTTGAGTAAATTCAGAAAATTTAGCATCAATTTTATCTTCTAGTCTTTTACATACGTGTCTTTACTCGAAGTGCGACGTTGCCATGCATTTTATTGTTCGAAACAAACATATTAAAATTAACCCATTATAAGAACATTATCATAATTTGTTATCATTTCTGGTATTATATTGTTAAGGCATTGTAGGCAGTTGAGCAAATTCTCTTTAGGTTTATAAATTATTACTCCCATACAATAGGTACACATACAAATATTAAATTTTATAAATATTTATTCTACAGATTTATCGAAATGATCACGGAAATCTAAAAATCCACTTTTGTTCCTATTTTTTATATTAAACAATATTATTTTGACGGTTGTTGGTAAATAATTTTACACGTTGCTTGCTTACTTCATTCGCCTTACTAATTAAACTCTAAATTTTTGTTTCGTAGGTTCTGTCATTGATGACTTCATTCGATGGTACTCTCCTCGAGACTGGATAGAAGAAGAGGACAAAGTCGACGAATGGGGTCAAAAAGTGGGCCAATTGAGTCCCAGAATGCTCATAGAAGACAATATTTGGACGGAAATGTGGTTATCAGCCAAACCTGTACCTGCTCATAGACAGAAAAGATTGTTCGATGACACTAGAGAAGCCGAAAAGGTGTTGCAGTTTTTGGATTTGAGAACTATTTCGCAGGTACGAGCATAATATTCATGGTTATCCATACATAGCGAGTTTACATTTTTTTTTTTTTTTTTTCATTCGTATTGTTGCGTTTATTTTAAGGAGTTTAATTATTTTAATTTATATTCTGTAAATACACTAACTTTTTTCATAATTAATTCATTTGTACTCAAAACTATACTGATTTATATTTACGTTAACACTTTATCTCGCAATTTATCTTTACTTGACTTTTTTTTTTCCTAATTTTCACGTATTTTTTGTTTCTTCCTTAAATTAAAATTATAGTTCATTCTAAATCGATTTTAAGAATACTTTGTATTGTGTAAAATTGTATTCTATTTTGGATTGTTCTAATTTTAATTTTTTATCTCTATTTATTTTTACATAATGGACATTTTTTCAAATTTTCACTTGTTTTTTAAGTCTCTCCCTTAAATTAAAATTACATTTCATTCTAAATCGATGTTACGAATACTCTATATTGTATAAAACTGTATTCTCTTTTGGATTGTGCTAGTTTCATTTTTTTATATCTATTCCCAGCAAACATTTTCTATAACATTAGTTATAACTTGACTTTGTTAAAGACGAATTTACTTATTGAGGTAATTATTACGTAAAATTGACTAGAAAAATATACCTCTAATGTAAGTTTACCAAACGGTTTTAATTTATATATAAATTTACGTAAATTATACCAAGAAATCTACCTTTTACACAAATCTGCTTAAAAGTAACTTTAACCATATCAACAAGGGAAAAACTACTAAAAAAAATGACCAACAATTACTTCAAAGTTAAATTTCCTTTGTAGTAAAATTAGGTGCCATATTTAGGTAATATCTACCTGTTTGGCAACTAAAAATCGTCTTTATAATAGAATATCCAACTAGGTAGATTTGTTTAAAATTTCTACGTAATTTTATGCCTCCATAGTAACCTATTTGGCCGCTTTTATTTACTCTCCTTTAAAGTAATATTAGGTCGAGATCGTAGCAAAATTCTACCTGTTTATCTACCTAATTTCAACCAAATAGTCGAATACTCATTTAGTTAACCTATAAGTCATCTTAAAGAAATATTTATTAACTTTGTTGTAGCAATTACCTGAAAAATCTACCACAAAGTAAATTCGACTAAAAACCACCAATTTAAAAAGAATCATACATGACCTATTTGTAAAATTTATATTATTTAGGTTATTTTAACAATTAGGTTCAGTTACTGTCTTCGTCATTATTCTTAAGAATTTCGGCCATTTTAAAAAAACCATTACAGTCGTAATCTTAATTTACGTGTGGTGTAGATAGAGCTTTAAATGAGTGCGAAAAATAATTAATAAAATGAGTTCGAAAAATAATAAATCATATCGTTATACTTCCGATTTTTATCGTAAAGTGAGACGTCTAAAATCTCAAGTGCAGAACAACGTGACCTAAATATGTTATATTTACCTATAGGTAAATTTTTTATAAAACCTATAAGTTATTATTTCTTTAAATAGGTAAAGTTAACTAATATGTCGTGAAATTGAAGTTAATTCAACTTAGTAAAAAGTCATTTGTAAAATACGTAGATTTCCTTAGTCATAATATCTTTTAGGTCGAATTCGCACAATACGCCATATTTTCTTAACGTAATTGAAGTACGATTCTAAATTTTAAATTTTTAAAATGACCATAACTAAAACATACGAATGAAAATACCGAAAAACGAAACATTATTGATTTTCTAAAGTGATACACAACAAACGTAACATAGTTTTAGCTCATAATCTTATTATTATTTTTTTACACGATCATATTTTTTTCTTTTATTTTTTTAATTAGAGAGTATTTTGGAAGGGCATTGTTATTTTTCTAAGTAGAAGTGTTAACATGCACGACAAAATTTTCTTCGCATTAATTTCAACAAGCGTGAACTGTATATTCACCGCAATTACATTACATATATTTTTGTCACCGACATTTATTTATTTTCAATCTTTCATGTGAATTAGGTATATGTTTTAGTTGTGTTGGTGACTTCTTACAATATTTCTACTTATATATAGATAAAAATACCAAATAAGTATAAAATTTCTTTGCGTATACTTGGAGGCATACGTCATCTGCTAATATTTTGGTAGTTTATACCTAAACTTAGTTAAATCAACGTCGAATTAACGTTATACTGACGTCAAATTTCCCTAGAGAGGTATTACTAACCAAACGTATTGGGCTACTACAATGTGGATTTAGATGCAATTCTACCTATTTTGGTAAATAAAACCAAATTTCAACGTCGTCTTATTCTCCACTTATGTCGAATCCACGTCGAGCCAACGTAAATTTTACTTAATTATGGTTAAATCTAATTTTGCGACCAAATTTATTATATATAATTTAGGTAGTATCGACGTCAAATTACACCAAAATGTTTGCTGGGTTCGTTTTTATATAATGGACATTTTTCCAAATGCTCCCTTCTTGTCTTTTCCCAGTATCTCTTTCGCTTTTTGAAATAAATGGGATTTGGATGAAGTCATATCTTCAGAAACTATTATAGTTGTTCCTTTTAGGGTCTATTTTGCAGAATTTTTTCTTTTGTATTTTGTTGAGATAGAGTTACAAGTACTGATCTTTTACCATTTTGTCTACCAATTCTGAAGCAATTTTCCAGATCATAATAAAAAGTACATTTCATTCTAACTCGATGTTAAGAATACTCCATATTATATAAAATTGTATTTATTCTCCTTTCGATAGTTTTAGTTTCAATTTTTTATCTCTATTCGTTCTTACGTAATAAACATTTTTTCCAATTTTCATTTTAGTTTATATAAGGATTAATTTGGCAAAAACGTCAATACTTCAGTTTAAAGAGATCTTGGTAATCTTTGTCACAGGCATGTCTTCTTAATAATAACATACTACTACGAAATAATAAAGTCATTTAGTATTATACGTTTCAAGTTTGGGAGATGACATATTACAGTACGAATTGCTTCATGAACGAGGCAACGAAGGAACCGAGTCTGAAAATAAACGAGTAATAACGTGCATGTAACGTATAATATTTTATTTTATACTATCTTTTTAATTTAAATATATAAAAATATTTTTTATATTTATCACCTTTTAATATTCTGTGTGGGAATCTAATAAATAGCATCATCTTTTTATACAGACTTCGTTTCGCTTTTGTTTTGCTAGATGTCATACTAATTTCGGAACTGGCAGAAATTGACAAAGGAAGCATAATTTTATCAAAATCAGAAAAAGCTAAAAAATCTGATTCCATTAAAATCATAACGCGATAAGATCAATAATTTCAATAGTTTGTGAAAATTGTAAGTAGGAAAATAAAGTTGAAATAATGCAAGAAGATATGCTTTTGCGAGAAAAAATATTTTGTAATTGTCCATATGTGACATAGTAGCCTAACAATCCTGATACTGTAATAAGCTCATTTACCGGACTGAAATGGTTAACGTAATTGTTCATAATAATATACCGAACAGTATGAAATAAAATTACATAAATGTAAATACTTCAAATGTCAACATTTAATTAGAATAGATTCTAGGTCATACAGGAAATTATATGAACAAGTGAACCTTTAAAAGAACTCAATCAAAATTATCGTGTTAAAAAAATGACATCGTAAAAGCAAACAAAACACTACAAGACATTCCTACGAACTTAATAAAGTCGAAAACGGTAGCAATGATTTATGGATTAACAACCTACACCAAAACAAACCGAATTATGCACTCAACTGTTATGCTCCAGTGATCCAATGTAATTAAAGTACACTTAATAAGAAAGTTAAAAATTTTCTTTGATAAATAAATAAGCTGTTTCTCTTGAGGAAATCAAGAAACTTGATTCAGCAGGAAGTGGGTGGACCACATGTCATAATAATATTTGCGCAACATAGATTAAATGAAAGATTAGTTTTTTACTTTTTATTACCTTTTGCAGATAAAATTCTTTGGTGTAATATTAATTGGCAGAAATTAAAGGTTGTGTTATTTAGATTAAAATGTTTTTAAAAATAAATAATAATAATATATTTTAATTGTGCCATTGTATTCAAATGTTGACATAAAAATCGAATGTAATAGGCTTGCCTCCCTTGTTTATTACTTTATGATCGAAGCACTCTACATCTATTGCATAGTAGAAATAATAGTGGTGAACAAGGTTACAAGGTGTAACTATGCTGGAATTTTTAATAATTATAAGCAATTTTCCATAAAAATGGTGAATTATTTAAACTTAGAATAAGATTCTACTAAATTGTATTGTATTCTGTAAGTCAAATTAAAATTATGTATTTTTCTTGTTTAATTTTAACGGATTTTTCTTAGATAATACTGATGCTGTCTTCCTATAAGCCGTCAACACTATACCAAAAAAAGAAAATTATTAAAAGTTTTACAAACTACCTATTATTATAAAATAATTAACAATTATTCTTGTAGTCTTTTGGTGTATTTTTAGTTCATAGTTATCATCAATGTTATTTATATATTTAAATACGTCTGAGGAAATTAAAACTATCTACCAAAAATAAATTTTAAAAAATTATCAGCTAAGAAAAGTTGTATTTCGTGCATTAATTCATTTTATTTAAAATTGCAAAGTCTTTTCCGCATTACGCCATCTTTATCTGTTTCTGTAACGTGTGGAGGTTGGGTTACCTCCGCGGCACTTAGGCCCATTTGCATCCTCCTAGCTCGTGAGCCAGTCTACATATTTAATGTAGTTCACAACGTCGTCAAGAGGTACTTCTCTTATATTAACCGGTGTTAGCCGATATTCGTCGAACATAAATATTCTAATAAATGGGAGCATCGAGCAATCGTAAAGGATATGCTCGATGGTCTCATCTTCTTGTTAGCACCCTCTGCAGAGTGCGGATTCTGACAACCCCATGATATGAAGATGCTTCCGTACTTGGAAATGACCAGTCAGAATGCCTGTGACTAGGCGCAGATTCTGTCTAGTAATAGTTTGATACAA